TAAAGATCCAGTATAAAATATTTTTTGTTCCAAAGACATATGAACAGACAGAAAATATTCCAGAGTTTTTTTTTTAAAAAAGTGTAATTTTCTAGTTATTACAAACAAAACCCCATAAAGTTAGCTTTTTTTTCTTTTGAAATACATGCTATGATGTTTTATACTTCTAAAATAAATTGTCCACATCCACCATTCCCTGAGCAAGTTATAGCAATTTATTTCAATGTTTTTCTAAGGCGTTTTTCAGTGGGGAAAAAACTAGTATTTATTTACTGACAATGTATTTGCCCAAAAGTTCTGAGAATGAACTAAACAGAAAGATTGTTACAAAAAACAGAACACTGAAGCAAGTTTGACTTTTTCCAAATAATATATGTTCAGTTCCCATAAACAACACCACTTTCAATGAACAAATAAAAAATAATAAATAATAATAATAATGAGTCAAAGTCCAAATAAACATGGTGCAAATCCTCAATAAAAAAATTAGATATAAATATTAACTATACTATAAATAGTTACATAACTAAACTAGATTCAATATGGACCATCCTTTGGTTTTATGCGCCAGCATGTATATGATGTTGACCCTGCTGCTTATCAACTTTTTGTGCTGTTGTGCATGCAAAGTACTTAGTATGAGAATTACTTCATGCAAAACTTTTTTTTTTTGCGTTTGATTTAGCTGTGCTTAAATGTACAGCCTATTTCTCATTCCAGGTTGTTCAAATAGCTGATTGGTGATCCACAAAGTTTTGAAAAATTTGAACCAATCTGGACATGGAGGAGGGACAATGCATCAATGTACAGTATCATGTCTGGTTTGTCCGGAGACACAAGCCACGAGCGTTCCTTTGTCAAATAAGCATTGTCAAAATGTGATGACGTAACCACACTGATGCCGGAGCCTCTGAAGGTCAATGTAATGTGTTACAATGATGGAAAGCTGAGATTCTCTTCGTTATGCCAATATTTTAATAGTACAGATCGGATCAGCAGATCATAAGTTATTATACATTTAAGAACAATACTTATTTTTAGCCGTGGACGGCTGTTTCGGTCTTTTTAAAAAAGGTTTGTGCTTTCTTTTCCACAAAAATATTAAGCATCACAAACTTTGATAATAATAAAAAAAATAATAATTCCTTCAGAAATCTTTATCATATGTTGATGTTGAAAACAGGAGAAATTATGCTAAATTCACAGAAATAAACTATACAGGGTTCATACACATTTGTACTACTAAAATTCCATGACTTTTCCATGACTTTTCCAGAACTTTCCAGTAATTTTTCATGACCTATTAATGTATGTAATGTCTACGAATAAATGGTAAATAATAAGAATGACATTCAAATTTATTACAGCATATCATAGCAATAATCTATATTGTTAAAATTTGTTTATATATCCATGTACAATTAATTTTGATAATGCTTACACAGCAATAACAATGCGAGATCAAGTGTTTGGCCAAGGACAGAAAAAAGACAAATATTCTATATTCAAGTTAGGGCTGCACAATATATACTGTTCCAGCATCGATATCGTAATGTGTGCATCCGCAATAGTCACATCGCAGTATATGCAATGTTGGGATTATATTTTAATATGGAGTTTAATCATAATGAAGTCAAAGTTTATAATCTGCATGCATTTTTTGAAGAGATAGTTCACCCAAAAATACTTAGCATTTTCATTACTCCCTTTACTTCTTTTAAACAATTTGTTTTTAAATGAACACAAAAAGACAATTTAATAACTCATATACTTTTGAAACTAGTGAAATGTGAGTAAATAGTGAGTAGATTTTAATCGTTGAGTGAACTGTCCCTTTAAGGGGACTGTGTGAACATTTCAATATTTCAGAGTTTAAAACAACCGGTCACAAGAATTTTTTGTAGCTTTAATAAAGAATAAATATTATACAATGAAGACTGTGCAGTGCTGATTATTCAATATCTGCACCTGAATAGTGAATACCTGAAGACTATAATTCACTTTTATCTCTACTATATTCTATTTATTTATGGTTGTAATGTATTCGTTATATACTATTCGAGATTCATTCCTCTACAAATTCCCCCAATGAAGTCAAATAAACCTGTTAAATCATCTGGTGAAATTATATTCACATAGTAATACACATCACAGAAATACAAAATATGGTAATGTCAGATTTTTTCAATATCGTGCAGCGCTAACTCAAGTATACAGACATTAGTTCAACTAATTTCCATGACTTTTCCAAAACTTTGTTTTGGAACAGGTCTGGAAAATGCCATTTCAAAATTCCATGATTTTTCCAGGTTTTCCATGACAGTATGAACCCTGAATTTATAAAGATATTTTAAATCATCATTAAGATATCATTTATTGCAATTCTGATCTAATGAACGCAACTTTTCTGCAGGTTTCATCAAGTCAAATTTAAGACTTTTTAAGACCCTTTTAAGACCATTAAGAATGAAATTGTAGACCTATACAGAGTTAAACACTAAGGATTATTTTCCTAATGGCCCAGTATTATCATTAGGAATCATGTCTTTTTTTTGTTGTCTTTCTTTGAATAGACAATTTAATGGGGAATGTTGTGAACTGCTGTTGTGAACTGTATCCCTTTGCAATAGGGTATATGCCGAAGCATGCTAATAGGACTTTTAATTTGCCAGTAACCTGGGTTAAGCGCTTCCGGCGAACTGTATGCCAATGGAAAAACCGGCGCGTTTAAGGTCTGTTTTCTTTAAAAATCAGCGATCTCCACTAGCTGAGTGATATCCGATATAAACTGAGTCTCAGATTGTACAAGAAGCACTGCATTAAATAACATTGTCCCTGCCATGTCTTTGTAATACGAGCATTTATTTTACCCCAATATATTTAACTGAGCTTTTGTGCTAGCCTGCCGATTCTAACGGGTGCGTGCGAGTAAACGGCTTTTTGTCTCGTTTTACGCTTGAGCAACTAAATGAATGCCAAAGTTTATTTAACTGAATGTATTTTAATGACATTACAACATCGATGCTGTAAAAGGAACCGTATAAAATGGAAAAAAGTCTAATGGAAAAAAACACTAGCTCGGCATATACGCTATAAAAAACTTAAATATACCAAATAAGATTTTACTAAGATGTATTGCTGGTGATTAGATGACCAAGTTGGGTAGCTTTACTTGGACAAAGAAACATTAAGACTGATTTAAAATTATTTACAACACAATATTTCAGTGAATTTAACCCTTTAATTTTGTTTTTATATAATAAGACTTTAAGACCTAGCAGACACCCTGTAACTGGTGAGCAAAAGAGGATACAAATATGGCCAATTCCTACCTTGAGGGCCCTATCATACACCCGGCGCAGTGTGACGCAAGGCGCAGCTCAATAGTCTTTTGGTAGTTTCAGCTTGGCGCAAGAGTCGTTATGAGGCGTTGCACTATGCTGTTTAAATAGCAGATGCATTAGCGCTCATATGTGCGCCCATAGGCGTTCTGGTGTAAAAAGGAAAGTGTTCTGAGGCGGACCGCTGGCGCGTTGCTATTTTGAGAATCTATAACAGATTTTTCATTAGACCAAAACAAACCCGGTCTAAACTCCAGCGCAGAGTTGCACCTCGCTTACGCACTGCTTAATACACACAAGAGAGCAATAGGCAAATATCTTTACATATGAAAAAATGTAAATATTAAGGATATATATAGGATATAATAAGAATTGATATAGAATATAAATATAAAGGATTAAAAAAAGGATTACAAAACATATTATTTTCTAGCCTACATAAATATGAAAAATCACTGCTTTTATGTCTTCTTCATCTCGGGAGGCTTTTTCAGTTCATTCAAAACAATTTGCTTTTGTATAATGTTATTATTATTAGCAGTATTATTTATTATATCCATATTTATATTTGTTTTATTAAAAACAAGCTTAGATTTGCCCACCTGTCAGGTTTTAGACCATATGGGGCACAGCATGTGTTTAGGATATAATTCAGTTTTTTGAGCACATTTTGCTATTATTATTCATTTATTCGTTTGCTGGAAATTAGAACTGAATTTAGAAATAGTTTTGAAACGAATATTTGCGCTTAACAAACAAAAGTATTTATTTATAGGCTAATTGATATGAAAGTACATCCATTATCTCTCATTCTCACGCAGTAGATGCTCTGTTTAACAGTTTTCTGTTAAAAAAACTGTCAACTGTCAACTGTTAGCTTGTGAAATGCTCATTTTTTCCACTTAGACTTACTTTGCGTCCTGTAAATAACGAATGCGCTCTTGGCACGACGCAGCTGGCTCTTAAAGGGAATGGGAGATGAGACTCTGATTGGTTTATTCTCAAAACACACCTATAACTCATTAAGAAAATTAAGAAAATTAACGCCGTGGCGCAGGGCAGATTTTCCGTCCTTAAATTGGCAAAAACGCGTCCTGACACACCCTGAAAGCATTCGCGCCCTGGCGTTTTGCGCTCTGCGCATGGACCGTCAAAATAGAGCCCTTAGTCTAGTAATATTTACTAAATACACTGCCATGTTCAAATGATTGCACTATAAATGCAGCACAAACACAAATGTGATTAAGACTTTCTTCTTAAAACACCAGTCATGCCATCAGCAACTGCTTCATAAAGACTACCGTCATACCCATGACTTTCAATATGAATACAGTGCAGAATATCAGCAGAGACATTGAGATTCAAAGACATATATTTTTGTAGATGCATCTTAAGCAATGAGTAATCAATCTATAAAACTCCTAAAGAAATCATTATAATTGTGCCAGTTCACAAAGGCGTTGAAAAGCCACCATCATTACAGCTGTATAATCTGTTTTAGTTGGTCAAAATACTAGTTCTAACTACTTCAAACCAGTCATACGAAGGGTAAAAGAGTCTAATTTGATTCTGAAAAGACCGACGAACTTTCAGCAAAACCGCATGTTTATGCAACAGGCCACATTTTAGGTTAACTAGTGTGATCAAACTTATACTTACTATTGTGCGCAGTCTATTAGCTGATATTCATTTGACCGTTCGTAGCACGCCTTGACGCCTTCATCTTCCCAGAGCTTCTTTGCATGGTCGAAAAACTCCTGTGGAGAAAAATAAACGCTTTAAGTTATCTGCATACTAAAGGTCCGTTTACATAGAACGCATCTTCACCTCTAATGTACAACTTTTGTATGCATTTCAATGTAAATACTTAACAGATGGGTTTGAGATTGCTGTATTTTTTGATGCCATGTCAAATGTTCAACAAGCTGCGCTGCTCATCACGGTCAGTTCCACAGCAGTGGACCAATTAGAAGAGCTTAGAGGTGGGACAACTGTTTAGAGCTTCTGTTTATAGTAGAAATTTGGCATGACAACTGTTTATTTACAATTAAACCATGGGCTGAGGAGGTGCTCATTGTGGCTTTGTCCAGATATCTTGGGTTATATGATGTATCTTTACATGCTTATCGTAATATCTTGTTTTCATATTTCTAATGGGACTGTTGTTGTTGCTGTTATTACATCATGTTCAGAATGTCACATCGCTTGGACCATGCACTATGCTCGCCTTTTTTCAACCAATTCCTGAGTGCCGCATCTTACATTTTTAGAAACAAAGCGCGTTCAGTGTGAATGAGACCCAAGGCATTTACATTGCAGATCTCGAAAGTGAATTCCAATTTGATGACTATCCAATATATTTTTAATGACCTGCTTTCATCAACTTTTAAAAATGACACGTATCTGATGTCTGCATTTACAAAAAAAAATAAATAAATAAAAAAAAAAAAAAAAAAAAAAAAAAAAAAAAAAAAAAGAGTAGGAAGTAGGTGTGGGACTGTTTAAAATATTGTGCAGTTCGGTGCACGATTTAGGGGTCACAGTTATAATTTACATTTTAAAAAAAAAATACTCTATTGTAACACCTAAATACCATGCATCAGGATAAAATGTATAGACTTAAAATATACCGTTTACAGTACTTAAGTTTATGTATATATAGCATTTGTCAGAGTTTGTCATTCTTTATCATTTTTAAAGGTGCAGTATGTGAGTTTGACACCCAGTGGTTGAACTAGGTATTGCACGCCTAGTTCATAACCAGTGCAAGCACCGGTTGCCAGATTGATGACAATAACAGCAGTGAGCCTAACTATCAAGCCTAAAGGCTGATTTAAGTCGTGTTCTAACTAAAAGCAAATGGCAAACAATCGAAAGAATATTTTTCATATTAAAAGTGAGTGAAATTCCTATTTTAGGCTTCTATTTCTCACAGGTGAACAAAAGGACTGACCATGAATACCTCGGGTACACCTCATGTGTGTATTCAGTGATAAGCAAATTGTGCTCGCTGCAGAGCCATTTGGGCAAGCGGAGTTCCAGCGAGGGGGAGCTTGAGCTTGAGCTCCACCTTTTTTGCACTTCTTCTACGAGTGATGTCACTGGGGGTAGGGTTAGGGGTGGGGTTGGTGTACGCATTAAAACAGCTTACAGGAGGCAGAGCGAGAGCTCATGCTCCCCCTCGCTGGAGCGTAGCTCTGCTCAAATGGCTCTGCAGCGAGCACCCTCTCGTGATAAATGCTAATAATGTGAGTTTGAATGCCATTTATTGTCATACTATTGAAAGCAGCAGCAGATAGTTCAACTCAGATCTTGAAAATAAAATAAACCTTTTGAAATTGAACTTAAGAACTGTGACTCCGTGCAAACCAACACATATCAGTGATTCAGAATCAACATTTAATAATTTTAAAGAGGTTTAATATGTATTAATTAGGTTATAAACCTTACCATTATGTTGGAGTGCAGTGAGTGCACTATTCTGTGCTTCTGAATGGCTGTATTTAAATGTTTCGTCTGGTGCAAAAAGAAAAATAGCATATCACTGCAAATCTCATACGTAGTGTGTTATCGGGATACAATGTAACCTGCTCACCTAATCTTTAAATATTTGGAATATTTATATTATTTACTAATTGTTAACCTCATATGGAACTTTAAATCTTATTTGGCGATCTACTAATGTTCACTTAGCATGTTTCTTAAATATCTCCAAAAATATTATGGTTTTCATTCAGTGCTTTAGAAGAGTCAAAAACTTAAAGCACCTTTAATGACGTCCAACTGGCATTGACAGGTAAAAAAAAAAAAACATCTCCCTGCTTACACTGCAGACATAACAGACTCATATCAGATACATTTCCATGAGGAACAAGGCCTGAATCTGATGAATAAATCGAAATTCATGTTTTTTTTTCATGCTTACACAAACGTGGGCCATATCCAGGGCTTTTTTTGATCACCAGCCACTGTGGCTAGTAGTTTTCCACCGTTACTAGCCACTCGCCTTTTTCACAAGCCACAATTTCAATTTTGTTATTGGGAAAATATATTTTATATGCATAAATTTGACTTTGGCATGGTAAAATGACTTCATTTAGATTTTGTGCTTTTTCCACTTGCCTCATTTATTTAACTGTTTTGTGTTTTTGAGCTTACTTAATGAACATGAGCACATGGGTTATGCTTTCATAAAAAAAAGTGTCGCATTGCATTTAGTTTTTTCTTTCACAGAACTTTTCAGGGCTCAACACAATAAGCATTTACCTTTGTTTTCTCTGGCCACACCAAACTAATTATTTCCTTGCCACAAATTTTAAGTAATATGTCAAAACAAGCAAAATACTGCTGTATACATACACTTTTTATTCAACAAAACAGCTGACATTTAAAAAAAATATATATTTTCTTGTGCATCTAAAACTGCACAGTGGTCTGTTCTGGCTCAAGATCCCAGATCACCAGTTAACTATGCATATAACAACATATTAAAGCAATACTATTGTAAAGGACGATTATTAAACGATATTAACAAAAATAACAGCAGGCAAAAGAAAGCGGGTAAAAAACATTCTGTGCGCAATAATGAAAGGCTGATGCCGCGCACACGGCTAATGTTAGGCCAATTAATAATCTGTTCAAAGAATGGTTAAATCGACAACAACTGCTGCTGCTTACAAAGAATCTCGAGCCCTTGAAGGACAGTGGGTGCAAGAGCGTCGCACTACTTTCGTTTCCATCCAGTTGCTTTGAGTGAGGAAACGGCACAGGATCTTTTAAACACTTGTGCACATCAAATCCTCTGTGTGCAAGACACTAAAGCCCTCGTCAGTGAGTGAGGAAAGCCTCGTTGTTCATTATTTACCTGCTTTCCTTTATTCGCGCGATAAGCTGCATTTGTCAGTCGTGCTGCTTCTCGATCCTAAGATCACATTTGTACGCATATTTGTACTCCAAAGCCTTGGAATAACGATTGATGACCAACTAAACTTCTCTGACCACATTTCTAGAACTGCTCGATCGTGCAGATTCGCACTCTATAACATCAGAAAGATCCGACCCTTCTTATCTGAACATGCAGCTCAACTCCTTGTTCAAGCTCTTGTTCTCTCCAGACTGGATTACTGCAACTCTCTACTAGCTGGGCTTCCAGCTAACTCTATCAAGCCTCTTCAGCTGCTCCAGAATGCAGCAGCACGAGTGATCTTCAATGAACCTTAAAGAGCACATGTCACTCCGCTGCTCATCCGTTTGCACTGGCTGCCAGTTGCTGCTCGCATCAAATTCAAACCTCTGATGTTTGCCTACAAAGCGACTTCTGGCTTTGCTCCTTCTTATCTGCAGATCTATGTGCCCTCCAGAAACTTGCGTTCTGTGAATGAACGTCGCCTCGTGGTTCCATCCCAAAGAGGGAAGAAATCACTTTCGCGAACGCTCACGCTTAATCTGCCCAGTTGGTGGAATGAACTCCCTAACTGCATCAGAACGGCAGAGTCACTCGCTATTTTCAAGAAACGACTAAAAACTCAACTATTTAGTCTCCACTTCACTTCCTAATCTGCAATTGCCTCTCTGGATATCACACTAACTGTACCCAAAAAAAAAAAAAAGTACTATTACTTTCCTTCTTAGACTTTACAGACCTGAAACTTGCCTATAGCACTTATTCATTGTTGCTCTTATAGTTGTGAAAGTTGCTTCCTTGTCCTCATTTGTAAGTCGCTTTGGATAAAAGCATCTGCTAAATGACAATGTAAATGTAAATGCATATAGACAAACAGTCATAAACTAACAGTCTAATCTGTAGAGACAATGAGCCAGCACTGGCAATTTAAAAATGAGTTTCAGCCAGCTAAAGTGGCTAGTGGGAGTGGCTGTCTAATCGCCACAGCCGAAATCTACCTGCATTTGGCGGGTGTTAATGTAAAGCCCTGGTCATATCCACTCTGTGCCACATGGGAGGAAAAAAATACCAAAATAAATAAAATTAAAAAATTGGATTTAGGCCACTTGAACCATGCAGTATAAATGTAGCCAAACAAACAAATCAAACGATTACATTTTAGCAATCATTTATGAACTAGTGTCCTTTCACTTCTTTTAAAGAGATATTTCTTGAGCAGACACTTCCAGCTACATTCATAAAAAGTGTTTTTGTTAAAAGCCTGTTGGCTGTTCTGGAAATAGACTGATCACGCCGAGCCGCCGCTGTGGATCCAGCGCTGCTGTAAGCACATCTCATCATGTTTCTTTTCATAGTTTGTTTGCAACTTTATGTAATACATTAAAATATATATTTTTGAACAGTTTTGTACACTTCGGACCAAACATGATTAAAAAAGAAAAGTAAAATATGTGGGTCAAAGATGAACAAAGTTTGGCCTCATCAGGCATTTCTATATATTTTTACCAGGAAAAGACCCATTAAATTGCCATCTACAAGCTAAAATATTTTGTCAGGCATATTTAGACGATGAATCCTTTGATGACATATTAAAAAAATCCTATTTAAGAATTAAAGTTGACCCCAACATACTCATTAATTGTCATTTTAAATCCTAATGATTTGCGACTATCTATCAATCTGCTAGTTTTTAATCATTTGTTAGCAAGAAATCACACAAGTGATCACCAATCTTTCAAACTGATTACGTTTCCCTTCAGTGATCGCAACCAGTGCTTGGAGTAACATTACAATCAATGTGAGTTACGTAATGATATTACTTTACTGAGTAATGAGTAAATTAACACATTACTT